CCCAAACCCCAAAACCCCAAAACCCCAAAACCCCATGATTATTCATTTTTAGCAAATAATTAATCAGAGAAAAAAGTATGAATAAAAGCCTATATTATATCACAATTTCCTTCTCATAGTAATAAGTTATCTTGCTCTGCATTTAGTTAGATTATTCTCACTTGAACAGATGAATTCAAAGTCAGGATGCTCTGGGAATTTATTTTTCTCTTCTGGTAGAGATGTGTCAGTGTGGAATAGATAAACTATCCTTCCGCCCTTCTTTAAAAGGTGAGAGGCATGTTCAAGTAGATCATAATAAAGCTTTTAAACATCATATTACTCCATCATAGTAATGTGCTCCTAAGCCTCAACTTCTTCAATCTCTTGATTTTCTTAAGCTATCATATCAAGATCTTAGTTCTCCTATTGCTGTTACTTTCTGGCATTCACTCTATCCTCGTACTTTTACTGCTTACTTTTGCTTATTCCAACCTTTTTAGATTTGGCTCTGACACCATATGGGGGATCACATATAATTGAATCAAATATGGGCCCACTATTTTAGTGATTTAGAGCTAAATTAGCAATATCCATAACCAAAATTTCAGGCCTTCTAAGCTGGTAGTAATCGAAATTTGTGAAAATATCATATTAAGGATTGATAGAATCTAATAAATCATTTTTAACATTTTCATTTTTCCTGCCAACACCGATACCATGTAAAACTCTGTAATCCAAATCTGATCCATATTAAATGCAATTAAAATGTGAGCAAGCAAGAGCAATACTGCCTGTACCAACAAAAGGATCATATACAAAATCACCTTCCTTAACTTAACCTTAGTTTGCCATTAAAAATGCCAATTATGTTTCAGTCGAAGTGGGCCCTAGGTAAGGTCTAGTCCTTAAATGATATTTATGAAAAAATGTTTCTCTTTCTTCTCTATTCGATGCTATCTATAAGCCAAAATACCATTAGTCGTCCTTTGTGTTTTAAAGTACCTTGAATATTATCTCAGGATTTTTCAAATCAATTTTTGGGTCAAATGGCAAAAATCCAAATCTTTCTATAATCTCGACTTTTTCCTTAGTACTTATTGTCTTTCCTAAAATTTCAACATCAAATTTAAGTGGCTTTCTCTGTTCTAGCAATGCATAAAGCTTATCTTTCTTCAAGTTTTGAAGCATTGACTCTATGCTATCACCCTAGCCAAATACCTATTTATTTAATTATTGAGTTATAATTTTACATCAGTGATTTCTTATATTGTGATTGATCTCTTTACTATTTTTAATGCAATTTCGTCACTAGGTAAGTTCACATATACTAGCGGATTCTTATGAATGTTTATTGAATCTCTAGACTATTGATATAGGTTTTCTTTGGAGACACCAAAAATCTCAGCAATTGATTCTAATTCGTTTAATACAAAGTCTAGGTATTTGTATTTCTTAATAAAATGGACCAAGTACAAACTTCCTTTGGATTCACTCTATATTTTTATATCAGCTTAACACTCCATTAATACTATGATTATAATGATATTACTAGCTACCCACGGTGATTTGTATTTAAACTAACTAATCAGATTATTTTGCTCATGGGGTTTTGGGGTTTTGGGGTTTTGGGG